GCGCTCATTCTGAACCCTTCTCTCTTCCTCAGCTGCTCTTCTCAATTCAAGGATCTCTTGCTCCTTACTTGATAGTGATTGTCGATGGTTAGCATCAATGACACGTTGGTAGGCTTGAATTTTCTCATTCATTTGAGCTTCTCGGAACCTTACGTGTTCGTGCGCCTCATGCTGTAAGTTCTCCCTATACTGTGCTCCCATTCTCAATACTTCTTGTTCTTTGGACATCATTGCATCTAAGGCCCTCTGACTTTCAATGCCCTCACGGACTCGCAAAGCTTCCACCAATTCCTCAGTCTTTGCCGTGTGGACGGCCTCAGCGTGGGCTTCGGCCTGGGCCAATACTTCACGATGACGGAGTTCGGCCGTTGTTTCCACAAGGCTTGTCATAGCAGGATCATGTGCATGAAGGTGCAAATTCTGCTCGACAAAATTCACTTGAGGATTGTCAATATGAACATTGTGTTGAAATGTATTATGGACATTCATCTGGTTCAATTGGCGAGTCGGTGGCCCACCCTCCCGAGCGGCTTGGGGGGGACAAAACCACGGTGACTGAATCCCACATGAGAAGGCACGACTGCGTTACTCAAATGTGGAAGGTGGCGTCGATCCCTTAAGCTTCTGGATTTGTCGGAGCTTGGTGGGGTGCTGATGTCATATGAGAAAGGTGAGTTGCTGATAGGTAATGTCCCCGGGTTAGCCATGGCTGCATCAGAGGTATCTACACGCCCGGTGCCCTCGGTGGAAGAACCCGAGGGGGCAGACATTCCTACAAGGAAGAAATTAGCTTACGGCTGATAACCTGTTTAACAGACTAAACAGCCCAAATATACCAGCATGTGCACGCTTGTTTCTTGAGCCATAACAACACGAGTAAGAGGGTGATACCTAATGTATGTACAGTGAGAATGACAAATAACATATAATTCTATTATCATAGAAATATAATATAATAACAAAATCATATCAAGAACTTTGGGCACTTCTTTGTTTTCTTATGCTTTGATATATTTGATTTACAACTAATGTTAGAACCGCAAATGTCACATACACACGGTTGTTTTGTTTTTCCTTGGTAATACTTGTTGAAGTAGTCTTTATCGTTTGGTTTTGAATTGTAGTATCCATTTTCCTGTTTTCTCCAATCATATTTACTTTTTGAGCTTTCTACTGTCGTCTCTGTATCAGTAGCATCATTGATACCTATTGAGTTCCACATCATATCAAATAAATTATCATCCACTGTCATTTTAACTCCATTATTCTCTTTTTCAATATAACGGAATATTAAGCTGGCTTCAAAGCACTTGCTGGCTGAATGAGACAAGTAGGATGGCTCCGAGGAGTGACATAAAAATAGCTGGTTTGAAGCCCTAATTCGAAAACAAGGTGCATCAACACCAACTGAAATCCAGAACAATTAGAAACACTATGATTACAACTACAAACAATTCAATAGACCATCTAGAATTATCGGGCTCAAGATCTTCAGATCTCGTGAAAGACGGTCCCGCCGAATGACGTGATTCAATGATTGAGCGCGGTTCCCCAGAACCAGAAATCTTGGCAACCACCTAACTTAGGGCTAATTCGCTAATTCTCACCCCATACTGATATCTTTGCGCTTGCTGAAAGGTATGGGATGCATTGGTCAGCTCCAGTGTCTTGCTTCCACACCCGTCCAATCTATTCCACTACTCCACATGCTGCCCAGTGCTCCCTAGAGCAGTGTCCATCCATGTCCTGTGTCCAAGCTGGAGCAACACCAAATCCATCCTGAACTCGATGTGCCTCACAAACGGCTCGACAATTTTCTGCAGAAGTGTCACAAGCTATTCATGCTTGAGAATGAGATTTTCAGCAAAATCATCCACAGGTTCCATCTCAATCATAAGTCTTATCTTTGTCCCCAACCTGTTCGACTGGGTCACCACCTGGTCACCACCGGCGGTCAACGGCCCAAATTTCACCAGGCTCCTTGAAAAGCTCCGCCTGCTCCAAGGCATCACGGAATCACCTTGGTGCAAGAAACGCTCCCTGTGGTCCAACAAACCATGCTAGCAAATGAACGAATCAATGGATTGGTTTAAGGGAAAATCTACAGGAAACCATGGTTTTTACCATCAAATATAGGGCTTTCCTGTAAATTTTCCCATCATCCAATTCTATGAACGAACCCAACCAAAAACCTCCGTGGTTTAAGGTCCCGATGAATGGGGCTGAAGCAACCCAAAAAAAATCCTCGGAAGAAGTGAACATTGTCCAGGATCCGATTTGGAACTATCAGCTTCACAGTTGACGTTGGCAGATCCAAAGGCACATGTTTGATACCGCATTTCAGAATGAGAATTAATATGGGTATGTCTGAAAATGGGGTATACCCCCAATTATAGCCATTTAGTAGGGATAATGATCATTAACCATTGGGTGTAGGGGTACACTATTTTCAGACACACCCATATGAATTGATGTGGATATTACCTCCAGAAAGGGTTTGGTAGTTGTAGTAGCAGCATAAACATCATAAACCCTTCCCATCTGCCATCTGAAAAGCTTCCTCCACATTCACTCGCTTCGCTCTCTTGAACCTTGCAACTGCTCGGTTTTGCCATATAAATCACTGCCACACCAATGTTCACCAACAGTGTCTGTGGCACCTCGCAATGACACAGAAGCGGTGCATCTCTCGTTTTGCAGCCTGTCGCCTTTGGAGTGCTGCCCTTGTAGCAGTGCCAATCAATGTACTGTACACAGTGGGTTGCTTGACCCAAGACTTTACCCTGAGGCCTCCGCAAGATCATCTTCTGCGGTTGACCAGCCAAATTATCTCATATCATATGACTCATATCTATATATGCCATATGTAAATGATATCTATACATTCACTGTATATTCTCAACTCATATTGTATTGAATGTTCTTTTTAAGTGGAGGCTTCAACACCGAACGAATCTCAAGCGTAAATGCCGCTCTCCCTGGCTCACTGCCCTTCACGCGAACTAGTTCAGCGCTTCAGGTCTTAGAAGTCTTAGACATTTAAGACATGTTCAGTTGTGAATGCCGATGCTGATGCTTCACTCTTCATCTTTGGCCCCTTTGATGGCTTGTCCCCGCAATAGTTGGGCTTGTCAAGCTCAAGACCGGCATCTTTGAACCACATGCTCATCACATTTTCCTTGTCATCATCTTTGCTGAGCAGCAACAAGTCGGGACTTTCCTTGGCAAATCGACCTCCTCCTCCAAAGAGTTTGATCATGGTGAAATAAGGGTCCTCTTTGCGAGACTGGTATTGCTCCCAGAGTTCAGCTGCACTTGGACGTGAGAGCCGTGGAATGGGACACCGTTCCTTGTCATTGTTGATGCACAATGCAGGCCAAGTGTTCAATTGAGGACCATGTGCTTGGTCATTGGGATCCAAAAAGACGACCTTGGTATTGTTCAAATCCTGGTTTGCAGCCACATGATCTTTCATACTCGTGGCACATTTCTTGCTGGGATCCACGCTAGGATCGGTCATGCAAAGTGGAAGTGAACTGTTGATCTCAATCAGGATGGGTTCAACGCTTCCAGTGGCGAAGGCAAGGTAGGCATCACCTCCAACGCGTGAGACATCGAGTTTGGCATTGCCAAAATGGGTTTTGATGTCTTGTGCGTAGCGTCGGAAGATCCCTGTGTCTCTACGAGCCATGAAAAACCAAGCAGCAGAGCTATCAACTTCTGGCCAGGGTTCAATGAATCTGTACCAGTAGATCACAGCATCAGCACCATCCTTCAACATGCGATTCCACAGGACATTCAACGATTCGAAATTCAGAATTGTTGCATCAGCTGCAACTCCTCCATACAATGCCAAAACGTTGGCCATGACCATATCTTTCTTATTTGCCGGCGGACGCCATGTCCAGTAAGCAGATGGCAGCATCTCTTCACTCACATATTCCAGCACATTGCTATCACTAAGAAACTCGAAATTCCAATCTGGGTTGTTGACACAAAATGTTTGGACACAAAGTTCCACCAGACGGTTGGGCATTGGATCAAAGCCCTTGTCGTAGAAGAACCAGATCGTCTTCTCAGGGATCTTGCCATACTTTGGAGGATAACCTGCTTGTTGGTCACCCTTCTTGGGTCCATTTGGACCACGATGTGAACCATGGAGGGAAGAGACCAACAGGGAAACACCGGCACCCAGCACAAAGGACACGAGACCAACGGCCACAACATGCTTCACACCGATCGTGTAGGTCTGCGAAGTCCTCTGGCCACTCCCATCTCTCACATCAGAGTGCACTTCGAACGCTTGCATTTCACCGGACCAAGCTCTTGAGCATAAACCAAACCCTCAGCGCAGCAGATGCAAAAAGTCTTGAAGTTTTAAGGAATGCTTCTGTCACCACTGTTTCTCACCCGCAGGATGTGATAGGAAGCAAGAAAGTGCTATAGGCTGCGATCAATAGTGGCAGCCCAGAACAAGTATGTGCATAGCATGTGCATAGCATGTGCATAGGACTCAGTCACAAAACATTGTGAAAACTGTGAAAACACTGTTGCGACATGACACCGCTCTCACTTTGGCCTGGCTCAGTCGCAACTGTGACACAGCCTGAGCAGACCAAAGCAACACACTGAACTCAGTAACTCCGTAAACCTTTGGGCATCCTGGGCGTCCTGATGCGAAGTGTACACAAGGAAGCTGTAAAATCATCTCAACCTATGAAGCCTTGGACAAGATGGAGATGCCTGATTCGTTACTTGATATTACTGAAGAAAGTTCTGAAGACACATTTTCATAGACTAGGTCATGCCAGGAAAAATAATCACTGCCAAAGCAAGTTACAGTCTGTTGAGAATAATTATACAGACAACTCGTACTATAGCGTTCCTTTCAAAATGAATTGGTTAGAACCTTGAAACCTTGAAGGTCCAAGATAGGTCTTGTTGATTCTGTATGGCTCAACAGCCCTTTAGAACCCCGGCCCTGCAAAACTGCTCTTCTCTTTTTCTGCTCAGATTGAATCATTACTGTTCGCTAAAGCACGTGAAGTCGGAGAAGGTTCCCCCAAGTCCGCGATAGCGACGAGTTCCGTTTCTTTGATCGATGCATCTTCGACATTCTGTTCCTGTAGTTGCTGTAGTTGTTGCTCTTGATTTGTTTTTCGCTCTTGGATCTTCCTTAGTTGCTCGTTTGGCAAAGAAAGCGCCTGCCAGAGTGATCTAAAGACTGCCCCCGCTTCTTGGCAGAACACCATAGAACACCATTAGACTATGTGTGTTTGTGTGTATATATATATATACTGACGAAGATTCAGATGAACGTTTAAAAAACAACATTCGTTTATTTTATTTGCGTTTTACTACCAAAACCTATGTGGAAAAACTGGGAAGAGTCAGGCGGCATATGGCCCCACAAGAGAATGCCGACCACAATCACTGCAAAACCCACCTGCGCCAAAATGCTGGCCATGAACCATGTGCGAACGATTTACCAGTCTAATTGCCATTTGAAAATAACACTTCGGAAGTGTCAGGTGATATTCTGGTTACCTAGCTGAAACAAACCCTTTGGGCACCATGTTTTTTTTTACAATGTCGACCAAAATGTCACAGTTGCGCCTGCCTTCTGCTGAGTAGAGATGGGATCGCCCTGAATCATAGCTGATGTTATCACAATAATACCGTCTTTCACAACGCCGATGACGACAAAGGCTACTGCAGACATACGCTTCAAACTGGTGGCAATGACCACGTTCAAAGCAAACGCATTCAAGGCGTTCAAAATGAGCAGAAACCAATTCGCCTGACAACTTGTCAACGAGGTGGACCACTGTCTGGCATGAATAAATGTAAACAATAAGAAACAAGTAAATTATACCACGCATCTTTTCCTGTACCAGTGCCAGGCAACAATTTCTAGGTGCAGTTTCACTTGCAATCAAAGTATACTTAACCCTTGACACCATGTAATTGGATAACTTGCAATACCAATTGTCTCTCTACGTCTCTCTTTGTCTGTCTTTGTTTCCAAAATTTGGTGCCCCAAAACCCAGTGCCTGTAAGGCCGCCCAAACTCCCGGTTGCCATGACTGAACCATGAAGATGAAGAGAGGCACAAAGGAAATTGGAGCTTGAAACGCCACAAAGGTCAACACGTCCAGTTTCATACCTCCCGGGCACCAGGAAGAATTCAGTTTGGTTGAACAAAAAATTACTCGTAAGAAGGAGGGTTTAGCAGTGTTAGGCATGATTTTTCCTGACGTTACTCATATGAAACCGTCACGAAGGATGCAGTACATGTCCTCATGTTACACAGTGTACCGTTGAGACCCTATTGGAAGTTTTAGAAGTCAAATTTCCGACAATATGGACACATGGAAAAAGAAGGTCAAGGCGCGCGAAAAAGTAATTGCCCCGAAACACTGTGTTTTTCCCATGTTTTATAGCTCCCGAGGGTCTGGGCAATCTGAGATCAAAAATTGCACGCCGCTGCGGCGCGAAGCACATGTGGAAGTCAAAATGCTAATTGTCCGCAACACGGAAGTATTACTTCCCAACTTCCTTTGATTAGATAATTATTAGATAATTATTAGATAATGATTAGATAATGATTAGATAATGATTAGATAAGGATTAGATAATGATTAGATAATTATTAGATAATTATTAGATAATTATTAGATAATTATAAGGTCATTATTAGATAATTATTAGATAATTATTAGATAATTATTCGATAAGTATTCGATAATTATTCGATAATTCTGCGATAATTATTGGATAATTATTAGATAATTATTAGATAATTATTAAATAATTCTTAGATAGGTAGATAGATAGATAGATAGGTAGATAGATCGATAGATAGATAATGATAGATAATGATAGATAATGATAGATAATAATAGATAATGATAGATAATGATAGATAATGACAGATAGATAATGATAGATAATGATAGATAATGATAGATAATGATAGATCATGATTGATCGATAGATAGATAGATAATGATAGATAGATAGATAATGATAGATAATGATAGATAGATTGATAGATAATGATAGATAGATAGATAATGATAGATAGATAGATAATGATAGATAGATAGATAGATAATGATAGATAGATA